TCAACCAGACAATGCCAGTTGGTGGCTCCCCAGGGGAGGGCCTTCTCTGTTGCTGCGCCGGCCCTGTGGAACGATGTACCCGCAGAGATCCGGATCCTCACCACTCTCCCGGCCTTCCGTAGAGCCGTCAAGACCTGGTTGTTCCGGCAGGCCTGGGGCCGCTGATTGATATCCAGCCCCGCTTAGATGTAATGGATGATGTGGAATTTTTAATATTGTATTTTTATTCTTAATTTTAATTGTTTCTTTGTCTTGCTTTGAGCCGCCCAGAGTCCCGATGGGAATGGGCGGCATACAAATTTTATTAAACTTGGAAACTATTTAGGAAGCAACTGAGGGTGCTGCCAACTGCTCTTATTCTAGGCTCCCATCCCCTCTTTTGGTCACAGATCCAGAAGAGAATACCCAATTTCCCCAAAAATAAGCAGCAGCCATGAGGTGACCATGCTCGCTGCCTCCTGCATCTCAAAAATAATAAGACCTCCCGAAAATAAAGCCAAGCACTTTGTGGGTCAAAAGAAAACAAGACCCTGTTCCCCCAAAATAAGACCCTGTCTTATTTTCAGGGAAACACAGTATATGCTTCCCAGGATATAGGAAGATAGATAAATGAACACAAGAAAGCAAAACATATGCTGTACTTATACAATATGCTACTCCGTAATACAGAAGAAAATGCTTACGACTGCTCAGGCTGCCATCGATAATAGGACTGAAAAGAATTCTAGATGCCATGCTCTACCTGTTTCTTCTCTTTTGCTATACTTGCAGTTTAGACTCCCTCAGTCAGATCTTGAGTGCAATGCTTTTTCCAGAGATAAGAAGTAGCCTCAGACAGTTTCAAGGTAAAGACTAAGAGAGTTTTAAAAACACAAATGTATTCATACCCATTTCTAATGTGTTGGTGGGATTCAATATTGATTTGAATAGATAATGACAGAAAAAAGACATGTATAGGATTATTGTAATATTTTTATTAGAATCGTAGTGTCCTATATTCAGTTTATGATCCAATTCATCATCCTACCTTAATGGTATCACTTCTTTGCATTCAACTGGATTTCCCTTCATTCTGTTCTGCATATTGCTATTCTTTTTTCATTACTGAGTGGTATAATGCTGTCCTGCCAATATTTATGCTCAGCTGAATTATTTTTCAAGCATTAATTGCAAAGCTGAATCCTTTCATCTACAATTCCTGAATTTCACTTCCACCTTGCAAAAGAGAACATTTACATTAATATTAATGCAAGAGCGTCTTTCTTTTGTAAATTTCCTATGGTGTACTTACAACTGCAATTTTGTTTATATACCAAGTCCTATTAACTCAAGACTGTAGCGTGGATAAGTTACTCATTAGTTGCTCCGGGCAATAAGTACTAAGGATGTAGGAGATGATCAGGTTGAGTCCAAGAGTGGAGTCAAGCGCGTAATAAGTCTGAAGTCCCTTCAGGCCCACGAGAGATCTAAGTCCACCCCCATTCTCATCTACTGCCAATTTGCCTTGATCTTTAGTAGTTCAGATTCTTGTAGTGAGCTAGCATGGATTAAATTTGTACTCATTTGAACAATTTTGGTCCGTGGTTTCTAGTGCCTGACATGTTCTGTTATCATCATATCTTGATGTACTTGTTATTTTAACATGCTAAAAAAAAAACCAGACACAATATAAAAATAACATTTTAATGTTTAATAATCAACCCCCTATGTAAAATACATCTTTTTACATAGCAATTAACAAGAGTGGGAAAAAAGCAGTATGTTTGGGAAGCTCAAGTCCCACCGTACGTCAGATGAAATTGACAGAATTAAAGAAAGAAGATGAAACACTTGATTTTGAACACACACAAAAAAGGGGGCATCAAAATGGTTACTTTCCCTTTAGATATTGCAATGTTTTTCAGACGTAAATTTTGAATTAAAATTCAAAGTACAAAAATAGCTCATTTTAATAAAATGAGTTATAAAATAATTCATTTCTCAGAAACATGAAAAAGCCGTACGTGGTTATATACTTTAAAAATTGGGCTTCAATGCAGCTTACGCTTTCTCACTTGAACAAAGACTGACCTGGCCTGGCAAGTCGAATTATAGTGCTAAGTCTATGACAAATTTGAGGATAATCCTATCTAAGAATGTGGGATAAGATGGCCACATCCTGAAACACTCTGTGGGGAAAATAAATTAGGAAGCAAATAATATTTATCATACAACATCCTTTCTTAAATTCATTCCGTACATTTTTCAAAACAAATCAGCAAAGGAAACATGATACCACTAGACCAGGGGTCCCCAAACTTGGCAACTTTAAGACGTGTGGACGTGTGGACTTCAACTCCCAGAATTCTCCAGCCAGCAATTCTCCACCCGTCTTAAAGTTGCCAAGTTTGAGGACCTCTGCGCTAGACCTAAACACAAATCATCTGCCCTTTCCTCTTTTTGTCCCTTCTATTAAACAGGTGAAATGCCATTTGTTTTTGTATCCATACCTAGGTCACCTGTCAATTTGTCTACTTTTCCTTCAAAATTTGCGTGCAAACAAACTATATGCATTAAGCAGAAATATTTTGAGACACAGATGTATGAAGAGTGTATGCAACTGAGGAAATGCATTTTTTTTAAAAAAAAATGCTTTTGTTTTGTCACTCCCAACCCCTTTTCTCTATAGTCCATCCAATGCAGTAATTGTAAAAACATTTATCAAATAATGTACCTCTAATGCATAAATAACATTGTCATTATAAACCAAGATGATCTCTCCTTGTGGAATGGTTACCTATGCACTCTCTGTGCTGTGATAGCCCAGTGTACATTTCGTGGAAGAAATAAAGCACCACCTCAGATCAAGCTGGCTTTCGGTGTCCTTTTCTTTTTCTTCTGTTTGATAAGAAATAAACTTTCATCCCTGGGGCAACTATTTTTTGTGTGGCTCCTCTGCTTTTTCTTTCTCTTCCACTTTTTTCCTGATTCCACAGAAACTTGGTGATTTTCAGTTTTGCCCTCTGCCAAAAAGCCAACACTTTGATGATGAGGAGTTTTCCTTCTGCACCTCTTATGTGCATTCACATGGCCACCTCTAGGAAAGCACTCTTCTATCGTATAGTTGTTCTGAACTTCCTTCTTACGCTTCCTTTCTCTGACTAGATCTGCAAGAGACTTTTTCCTTAGGTTCTTATGATGTCCCCTCTTGCCATGTTCCTTCCAAACTTCCCTCTTTTTCTTACGTTTGTGCTCTTCTTGAACATAATCTGTATGTGGTCTTTTGGGGGACTTTGGTAGAAAACCAGCTTCCTGAAGTTCTGCAAAATAAAAACACTTGATGATACGTCACTTAAATACGGAACACTGTACTTGTTTACCCCCTAATTAGAAAAATCGATATATATCCTGTTTGCAATTAAATAAATGTAATAAAATAAACTCCTGCATATCTATCAATTTTACAGGTAATTTGTAAAAAGAACACCGAGCAGCACAGTGATAATGGATCAAGCCAGCTAAAACTGATGTAGTAACCATGGGAATTCCAGTCCATAACGTCTAGTGACTGGGTTTCTAGTATTGGGATAATGTCAGCGTTCCAAGTATCATGTAGAATTAAATCAGAGTCCAANCTCCCGTGTCCATGGTCCCCCCAACCACCCCAACGACCTCCGCATTCCTCGACAGGTCCTCCGAATCAAACATACTCATTCATTCACCCAGGCAATCCCCACGTTGTAATTAAAAACACAAAAAATACAGCAACAATAGGTAATAAAAGTGGGATCATTCACTCAATCACATACAGATCACATGCATATCCCATACAAAAAGAGGGAAGGAAGAAAAGACAAGAAAAAAAGAGAGGAAAAAAAAGATTACGCAGCTGTTAAAAGTGCAAGTTCAAGTCAGCGTTTGAGATGGTTGAAATAACTGAAATCCAGCTAATGATGGCCAAAGCAGCTAGGATAGCTGAAATAGCAAGTTCAGACTCCCTGGGGTTGTGGTTAAGTAAAATTTGATGTGATAAACTCTCCAAGTCCACCAAGGGAAAAAGTCCAGACAAACAGGGCTCTGAAGAAGGCGAAAGTAATGTTAATGCAGAGGCTGAGCCACAGGGGAAGGGGGGAGGAGGGCGCCCGGAAGGGGTATGGCGGCAGCAATTGCAATCAGCCACCCAAATCATCCAAGTCACCCAGTCTTTACGGGCGCCCAAATCGTCTCCACCTCCTCCGGAATGATGGTAATCCAGGAAAGTCCCCAAGAGTTCAGCGAGCCAGGCGGATATAATCACAAGATGTTGCAGGCGCCCCAAGGTGGAGGCGAACGCCGCCATCATCCGCCTACAGTGGGAGCAGCGAGCAGAGAGGGATCCGCACCAAAGAGAAAGGGGGGGGAGAAAAGGTGGCCCAAGGAAAACTGTAGTGGCAGCGGCAGAAGCCAGCCATCCAGCCCGGCCACTTCAACGTTGGAATCCAGCCACCCCTTCCTCAGAGAGAGACGCAGCACAGCTGTTGGGGGGAGGGGAAGGCTGCAGCGGCGATGGCAAGCCAGCCACTCGATTCGCCCAACTTTAGTAACAGCCCGGCGCAGCAGCCTCCTCTCCAGGGTGAAGGCAGTCAGAGAAAACCCCCAGAGGCTCACCCCGACGAGCAGACAAGGCAGGAAGACAAAGCAGCCGCCGGAATCGCCGGAATCGCCGAAAAACACCGCTGTTGTCAATGCGGCACCGCCATCTTCGTCGCCAAGCGGCAGAGGCAATGTAAAAACCGCTGAAGGTTGCATAGTCCGGGGCCGCCCCAAAGTGGCGGCCCCTCCAGATGTCCGGTCTCCTCGGGTCCCCTGGATCTTGGTCATTCCCAGGGGCCCTTTTTTGGCTGGTAGGGGTTATTTCTCAAAGTGTTTTCAGCGTTTTTTCGCCTGATTAATTCAGGACGAAAAAGCCTAGCAGCCATCTCAGTCTTGCACATGCGCAGGTAATTGTTTTTTTTCTGCAGTTCTGATTATCCTCTGAACCTGTGTCTGTGTTGTGTTGTAAAACCAAACTAGACAATTATAGAGGTGCAGATGACAGACTCAATGATTCCTCTGAATCAGCATCTCCTTGGGCAGTTTGAACTTCCTGAGTTGGCACAGGAAGAACATTATTTGTTGTGCTTTTTGATGATGTTTTTGATGTTAGGTGTCCATTTTAGGTCTTGAGATATGAAAGAACCTAGAAATTTCTGATGAGAATTTCCTTCAGAACAATGTTATTCATGTTGTCAATCTTCAATTCAGATTTAAAATGGAAACCTAAAAACTTGCTTTCTGATTCTTCTTCTAATGAAATTGATTAGTACATTCCTTGGAACTTTCCTAATTGTGGTCTAGTGGGAGTTTATTCTGTATGCCTTTCTAATTCAAATTCCATTTTTATTTCCTCACAGCCTGTTGATTGGGTCAAAAATTGGTCCATTTTTACTCCCATGTCTTCTCCAGGGAAATAATTGAAAGCCTTTGCCTTGTAATTTGAAAAGGGCCAAATTATCTAGGTGACTGTCACACTAAATTGCAGGGAGCACTTGTATTTCTCAGAAGAGCTTTTGCACAATAGACAGCAGTAAGGAAAACAATTTGTTGAAGAAGTAGCAGGCAGTTTCAATGTCTGTTTTAAAAGCGTTCAAGAATGGCTGATTTTCAACAACAAACTTGCTTGTTACTGAACACGCCCTCTGCTGGTGATTCCCCCAATCAACTTCTTAGCTTTGCCCCAAAGCCCTCCTGCTAGCACTTGTCCAGAGATCAAAAGAATTAATTTAAAAACTTCCGGTTTTTAACTTTAAAAAATGCAAGTTTAGAAGCATACTAAGCCTATTACCCAATCAAGAACCTGACACCTCCAGAGAGTTTCTGGAAGTTGTTCAAACCACCTGTCAGGGTTCCAAATAACACCCCCAGTGAAAGAAGACTCAAAGTTCCATTTTATTAGAGATGTCATATTAGCACATCTGGGAAAACCTGAATCTGAAAGTTTCCATGTTTTCCCCACTCAAATGAATGTTCACATTTCTGCCCAGCACCCACATGTCCATCACATGGTGCAATCAGGCACTATCCAAAACAGGAGATGCTTCCCAGTCAATTTATCACAGCTGCAGGGCCAGATGACCTTGACTTTCTGAGAAAGAATGTTATTATGGCTATATATCACCCACACTCTGTATAATCCCCCCTCCCATTTCCCCACAGTAGAAAATGTGGCAGGCCTGGAGTCCCAAAGGTAATTAGATGGCTTCCAGGTCTGACACCACCATTCTATCAGAAGTCCCAATTATTATACTTTCTGAAAGTCTCTTTTCTTTCAGCTTCTTCCCTATTTGAGGAAAATTCAGTTCAACAACAGTGCTGGAGATAAAATATCAGTCTCAGAAAATGGACTAGGATCTCCTCGTTATGAGATTCTCAACTGGTGTTTCCTCCCCAATCAGTCTTTTGTCCCTGTGAAAATTGGCCAAATAGATCCCGGAGCTTCTCCAGGCCAGGATTTTACTATCAACTCCAAATCAATCATCTGAGCCACAAAGGTAGAATGGAGAGAAATGTATGAATTCAGGGAAAGACTTGTTCTATCCTGAGGATGCAGGATGCCTTCCTCACTGAAAAAGAAATGTGTATTGAATCAGAAAAACTGACAACCGTGGTTTAAAAATTGTGCTTTTCATGCAAAAGATACAAGTCTGATTTATGCCATGGTCAATAAGAGTTGGGATTGTAAAAGAATCCTCGTTGAAACCCAGGGTAAAATAAGAAAAAGCAGCTGTGGATTTTGTGAACCATTCCTTTTAAGTTTGGACATTATGATGTTTTTCTTTTGTGAAAAGTTGTCAGTCAAAGACAAAGTACAAGAATATAATTGCATGGTGGGATGCAATGGCTTTTTAATGCGGTGCAGCGTGAATAAAATAGCAGAGATGGGGAGATGACATAGCTGTGGGGAGAAGGAATTGAGGTTTCTTTCCTTGGAAGAACTGAGGCTCAGGGCTTTAATTGATCTTACTTCAAGTTACAAGCCCCAGCACCAATGAGTTAGTTGGTTTCGTGGTTGATGTTACACTTCTAAAGATCTTCTGAAAATGTAGATGTCAATGTGAAAATCAACATAGGATGCATGAACAATTAATAAACCACCTCAAACATTTCTCTTTTTTTATTGTAGAAGGTTCCCTTTGCCAGGTGTGGCATGAAGAGGTGCCAGGCAGGAGAGAGGAGAAGTGTTCCAGAGGGCGAGCAGTTTTGCTGCTATCAATGTGACCCTTGTCCAGAAGGAACCATTTCTAACAAGACAGGTAGAGCACACATCAAATATAGATATTCCAAGATCAATAGAATGGAACAGAACAGAACAGAATAAAATAGAATATTTTATAGGTCAAGTGTGATTGGACACACAAGGAATTTGCCTTTGGTACTTATGCTCTCAGTGTACATAAAGAAAATAAAAATAAAGTACATTCATTAAGAATCATAAGATACAACACTTAGTGATAGTCATAGGTTACTAAATAAACAATCAAATTATACATACTAGGAAACAAATAAAACAATATAAATTGTAGAGATACAAGCAACAAGGTTATAGTCATAAGTGGGAGGAGATAGGTAATAGGAAGGAGAAGAAGAAGAATAGTAATACAGAGAAGCGTTCCAGAGGGTAAGCTGGTTTGCTGATATCAATGTGACCCTTGTCCAGAAGGGACCATTTATAATCAGACTGGAAGAGCAGACTTCAAATGTAGATTTTCCAGGATCAAGGAAGCTATTCAGTAGATCAAAATATTAACAGTATTTTTGGTCACTTGTAATACTGTAGGTTTCACATAGCTCAAGATATGGATACAAATTGTCCTGCCACCTGTTTAACTTTGCATCCCTGAAGAATGACGATTGACAGGACTTCTCTCCTAATCCAATTTCACACAGGGTGGACTGAAAGCATTAATTTGTAGATTTCTTGCTCCCCTTTCTACTCCTCTTATCACAAACCAATGGAGAAAACAGTTACTGATCTTTTTTATGAATGAATAGAGTAGCGTGTCTGGCCAAACTCTGTGTTACTTTTAGTGTTCCTCTTCTGTGAGGATTATCAATCTCCTGGAAACTATCAGGCATGTCAGAGAAATAGATCTGTCTACCTATCTCTAATAGCTGCTTCCTGCAAAAGATCACTGAAGACATGATGGGAGAAAGTGATTTGAAATAGGAGAAATTCATTCTTTTACCCCACACACCTCCCGTTCCACATAAGTGACTGAGTCTTCCCCTTTGTACATGCCTGTGTCATCTTATGATCATATGACACATCAGCAGATAATGTACCTAGACAGCAAATAGCAGGATCCCTATAGACAGATGTATCAATCTTCTCCCAATATAAAATTGGGGAAAAGATCAAATTCCCAATTTCTCCCTGAGAAAGGAAAATGAAATAACCATGCAAGTGGAAAAGAGAGATCCTGATAACTAAGGAATTGATGCCTGGGTTCATTTTGAACCTACAATGATCTCCACTTTTTAGGGTATCAAAAGCTGCTCTTTTCATCACTTCCTTTTTGAGTTGCACTTACCAGAAAAGAGTGACAATGGGATCCCGGTGTGGGGAGAGCTCATTGTGGATGACTCTGAAGTCCTAAGACAGAGAATCTTGATTTCAGATGCAGCTCGCTGTAATCCCTGCCCAGAAGACCAATATCCCAACAAGGACAAGGACCATTGCATTGCCAAGAAGATCCACTTCCTTGCCTATCAAGGGACTCTGGGATACACTTTAGTTTCTCTCGCTGTTTCTCTCTCCGTGACCACATTGGCAGTCCTGACAGTTTTCCTTAAACATTGTGACACCCCAATCGTCAAGGCCAACAATCGATGTCTAACCTACATCCTCCTGGTCTCCCTCCTGTTCTGCTTCCTCGGCTCCTTCCTCTTCATTGGTCAACCAAGGAAGGTCACCTGTCTCTTCCGACAAACTGTCTTTGGCATTCTTTTTTCTCTTGCCGTTTCCACTATCCTGGCAAAAACTGTCATGGTGGTTCTAGCCTTCAAGGCCACCAAACCAGGGAACAGGACAAGGAAACTCTTAGGAAAACCACTGACCAACTCCATTGTTGTGGGCTGTCCCCTGGTCCAAGCAGTTCTTTTTGCCACCTGGCTGGTAACCTCCCCTCCATTTTCCAATATGGATTTCCAGTCCTTGGTAGGAGAGGTCATCTGGGAGTGCAATGAAGGTTCAGCTTTGATGTTTTACACTGTTCTCACCTACTTAGGTTTCTTGGCCCTTATCAGTTTCACGGTGGCCTTTCTGGCTAGGAAATTGCCCGACAGCTTTAATGAAGCAAAGTTCATTACTTTCAGCATGCTGGTCTTTTGCAGTGTTTGGATATCATTCCTCCCCACTTACCTGAGCACCAAAGGGAAAACGATGGTGGCCGTGGAGATCTTCTCCATCCTGGCCTCTGGGGCTGGTCTCTTGGCTTGCATCTTTTTCCCCAAATGCTACATTATCCTATTAAAGCCCAATCTTAATTGCAGAGAGAATATAATGAGGCAGAAGAATCTTTGATCTATTTTCTGAGTTTGGTGCATTTTTGTGAATCTGTTTTCTTACATTTTTAAAAAAATGGTGAAATGCTTTTCTGTAGAATGTTTGTAAATCAAGTGATATGATTAAGGACAAAAATATCTATTATTCAGCTACACTTACTTCCTCGCCTTCTAATTTTTCATTAATTTTAATTGTTCCTGGTGAGACCCCATGACCAACTTGGAAATACACTTTGATATCAAAGATGTGGATAATAATTCCCAGTTTTTCCCCACTTTATTTATTTTAATTAAATGAATCATTAAAATATATCCGCTTGGGCTCATTTTCATTGTTTTTAAGCACTTCTGGTTCCATAGATCCCCGAGATGGTGCTCAGTTCCTTATTATTACAATTGAATCACAGCGACCAGTTGTTTCACCAGATTTGGTATTGATTACTAGTCGGGCCCCACCCATTATTATTATTGTTGTTGTTGCTGTTGTTATTTCAATAGACTATCATAGTTTGGGGGGCCAAATACCTCTCACTCCCAATTCAAGTCTGACTCTGACTTGGCGTTGTCTGTGGGAGCTGTTTCGTTTTTAGCAGCTCTGGACCCGTGGCTGTGTTAAGCTGTCTAAACAGCATCCATCAGCTGTTTGACACATTGATTACCTCTCCTTAGGGCATAGAAGAAGAGGTGAGAAGCTGAGTTTGGGAAGTGCTCCATTCAACCTCTCCCAGGAGATAAATCTGGGGTGTGGAAGGTATGAGCCACCCAATAACCCAGTGAATTCTCCGCGCCAGGGATTTTTTCTGCCTTTTTGCAGAATGAAGGCATACGTCAACCCTCAGCTCAACGATTGATTTATACCTGATTTCAACACGGGCAGATAAATACCAGAGAACTTCTAATTGGATGTATTACAGACTTTAACTCCATTTTTCTGAAAATTCCTTCTGATTAACTACATGGCAGAAAAGACAAAGATGGCGCTGAACAGTTTTATAGGCGTGGTGTTGCTGTGATGTTACAGATTTTCATGGAGCTCAAACTATTATAGAGTTCAAGATCAACTAAAGATCATTAAATCAGTAGTGATTTATTAGTAAACTACAGAGTAGTTACTGGAACAAGCGGCTTGCCTCGACTTATTAATTGAGTGTAAGATAGGACTAACTGAGGAAATGGCTTCCAAGAAAAATCTATTAATACCTCGAAAAGCACTGGAAGTTCACCTCCTCCGGCATCTAAATTACTCCCCTCCCAACCCCCTCCTACTCCTGCTGGGGAACCTTTGACTCGAGAAATACTGCAAAAAGAATTAAATGATGCTTTAAAAAATCATGCAGCTGCGATGGAATTTAAAATACAGGAAAAGATCTCTGTTGCTTTTAAGGACTTGTCGGAAGAAGTTACGGGTTCAGTCCAGATTCATAATCAAGAAATTAGGGATGATATTTTAGAGGCTTTTAAATGCTTATCTGGCTACATATCAGGAATCAAGGACAAATTGGAAGATCTTAGTGATTCCAATATTAACCTGGTAATGAAAATGGATGTGGCCCAACGCAAGGTTGATGA